AATGCCTGATTCCTCTGTATGTCTATCCTACTGTGACTTTTAAATTCCATTTTACAATCCAACATTTTCTTGAATGAATCAGCAAAATGAAAACATTTAGCTTAAGCCAAATCTCAGCAAATATATTGATATAAACTGGGAGGTTACTTATATAATCGTTCCAGTACAGTACATTTTTCAAGAATACTTGAAATAAATTGCATTTCTCTAGATTAATGTAAGGAGAAAAGGGTACATTCTCAAATAAAAGCTGTTATCAAGATAAGGACAGAGTCTCTAGGGGCAGTTCAAAACAGCGAGAATAATTTATAATTCCGCAGCACTAACTTACACAGTGCACTACTTTATCTTTTAAGAATTAGTACTGTTTAAATGAATGAATTAAATCCAGTCGCCTTTACTTTGCCCTTCTTTTGATTGGTGTTAAGCTCCAGTCAGTAAAGCTCAACACTGTCTACAGATGATGCACACAGGAAGAGGAGGGACCTGAAGGCTTTCCGTGTGTAAGGTAAAGTTGCAGCAATTGAGGGGGTATTCATTAATGGTTAGGTAAAGAAATATGTCAGGTATGATGTGGATGTTGTCCTGTCAATGGATTAGGGTTGTGAAAGGTTCTTTATCCTGAATATATTAAGATAAGAGGTAAACATAGAGGAAGAGTTGAGCTTGTAAACATCAAATTGAAAGAGAAACCTGTCTGTGACATGAAGCCTGTTTCAACAGCGCTGTTGCCTCTGTACCTGAGGTTAATACATGCTACTGATCATCTTTTGAGCAAACTTCATCTCTTGAAATGCAAATCATGCATCGTGCGTGGACACAAAATAATAAAGGAATGTATACGAGAGGACACTGAAGTGGTTATGCCATTTTTTTAGTTCATGTCGTGTAGAGACGGCAAAGTAGTAAATGATTAAATCAAACAACTTTAGCTTCACTTGGGATTACATTCAAGCAACTCTCACTTTTACTGCAAAGAGCAAGTTATTCAAATATATCATGGTGGGAATACAAATATGTAGCTGTGTTTACATGAACAAATGACAGCATGAATGTCAGCACACTGAACATTGTTTCTCTTTTCCATGACAAGTATTCCCAAACAACAGCATAATCCTTCATCTAATTCATTTTCTGAAACACATACAGAGACTACTGAGGAGTGGTCAGGAGGAGAGGTGGAGAATAAAGGGATGTGAGGGGAGGTGGGGGGGGTCCCTGCCACTCTTTTCCACTGCAGGACCTAGCACGGCTTAGCACAGCTTAGTTTGGCCTTGGTAGGCCAGGCTCACTTTAAGCTGTGTTTCCACACCGGACTCTGAGGAAACTATTCGTTGTGGCCAAACGGCGGTACTACACTTCCGTATCAGTCGCTGGGCCCGGAAAGACTTTTTCCCATTGACTAACATTGGGAAAGAGACGTCTGTAAATCGTTGGATCTTTTTTTTTAAAGCTAAATAAACTACCCAGTATGAACATTTGTATAGCCCTTATTAAAAACATTCGGTCCTCAAGTTGTAAAATGTGCTAATAACGTTATTCTGAGAGTTATTGTCCTCTGCATTATGAATGCGCATCTAACCCATGGGACCGCGCCGCCCGGCACGTTCATGTGACGTGTTCAGTACTACAATGAGTTTTACCTTTACCCATGGATGCACAATAAGAACGGATTATATGATTATATGAATACTTTCATGACGTTTCGCTCTCTCAAAAGTTGGGCCATTTTGTCTTCATGCTCCAATGAGCAACTCTCATAGGAATGAACGAGGCCCCGCCTCCCACGCTGTATCCAGTTCTTATTATACATCCATGCATATACTGCCACCCGAAGTCTTGGCCTCCGTTGGTGCGCTGGGCTAATGCTAATGCTAATAATGCTAATGCGAGCAAATAAAATGGCGGCTTCACAAAAACCTTTCAGAGGTTTACGGGACGTGGTGTGCAATTCGCCCAGCCAATCAGAAATTGGAACCTTTTTCTCCCCAGGAAAGTCCCTGCTCTCTGGCAGGGACTAAAAAGGGGTGAAAAGGTTCACAAAAAAAAGTTCTAGTTCCAGATCTTTTTGGTGTGAACGCAAAATCCCAGGAACTATCGGAACTATTCCTGGGAAAAGTACTCTGGTGTGAGAGCGCCTAAAGCTTTCAGATCTGACCTTAGAGAACAGGGTGGGCGGGGGGGAGACCATTAGATCAGTCTCATCACCCCCTCACCTCCCTTCTTCTCACCCTTTCTCTTTCTGTTCACATACAGACATCATTAAGAATTAAAGCCACTGCCCGAGTACATGAAAAATACATCCTCCCTTCTTTCCGTTCATTATCAAAGATCACATTGGAAGCAAAAACAGAGAGCCTATAAGTGCTGGCAAATCCAATCTCAAGCAGCTCTGGTATTTTAGAAAAGGAGGGATGATGTGTTTTATAAAAGCAGACTTCAAGATTTCCAAACACCAAATCCAAAGCAAAAGGAAAGTGATAATGGAAACATGATGGCCGAAAAACAGCGTTTCAGACAAAGCAAGCAGAATCCAATAAGAGCCATTCAAAGCCAGGCAGCGTGTTAGTGAGGAAAAATTGTGATGGTGCACGGGAAGTTAGTAGTGACAGGATGAGGAACATTTTCCAACATTTAAAGAGCAGAGAAAGGTATGAAGAGTTCAAGAGAGAAACACAGACTGAGCTATGAATGTGGTTTATGCAGTAAGACAAGGACACATTTGAGCAAAACCATTGAGCAAGGAATTCAAATAAACTGCTATTCAGGTGTAATTAAAGCCTGATTGACAAAAAGATATACATTTTTTCCATTATGTTTGCTTTATCATAACAAAAAATCCTGCTGCTAACCAGATTGAATTTCATTTAGAAAAGAGGGAAAAGGTTTGGCCAGAAGTAAATATGTCCATCTTTTTGTGAACATGTTGTGCTATTTATAAAAGTGGGCTAGAGTAGATGCTAATGTAGATCAAGGTGTCTTTAAAAAGACAGTCCATTCTCTAATCCCCAGCACTGAAAACCATAGCTGAGGTTACTTTAAACATGATTCAATATATCTAGTCTTTGTTAAACACAGCATGTCAAAGCTGCCAATTGGGTCATTATACATATCAGCTTTTTTAAATCTGCATTAATGAAATTAGGTTTGTTTGCCACTTAGGGCAGAACTCCACAACAACCAAATTGTGGCTTTCTAAAGATGATTTTAGCTAATGTGTTGCAAATAGTTTGCAAGTGTTGAAACTAAAACAAACACTATATCTTTAGGTAAGTATCCCAAAGCAGCTGAAAGAGGCTAAACGGCGTCAGAGCTGAAGGACCTGCAGAGTTCGTGATGACTCTCTGTAGGGTCAATACTACAACCAAAAAACGACATTAGTCATAATCATTTGACCCATTGTTCAAATTAAAGTCAATGATAGTGAGTATTTAAAATGAGAGCTGGTCAAGTCCTTCATCTTAGAGGTCAAACCGACATGGTAGAGTCTATTATATTCTAATTTGGTGGTCCAATCATTTCATGTCTTTCAGATCTGTTTTGTTAAATCTGTTTAGCCTTATCTTTGAAATATTGCACTGCTTCTGCTCTTCTTACTTTGTGACATCTCACTACTCTGTTTGTCTTTGATAATCAGACAGCTATTGCTTTTGATATCTCAGGTGGCTTGGACTGGTTTCTTACTGTCCAGTGTGAACTCTAGCACAAACTCGCTGCTGCCGGCCGGGAAGTTGTGTCTCCAGCTGACGTTAGCGTAGTTACTGTTAGGCTCCACCGTCAGATTCCAGATCTCCAGCCCAGGGGCCACTACACAGGGGGGGTCAGGGGTAGAGGGTTAAGGGTCAGGGGCAAGTGGCAGAAATTGCACAGTTACAACAACCACACACGCGTCTCAATGAAGAGCTATGCATGGTGCGAGCACGGAGGGACTCTAGCTACGAGAGCGATCGTTTGAATGGGTACCGAAGTAGATCATGATCTGTCTGAAGCCAGAAGTACATTTGTTTTCATGGACAGGAAACTCACCCATAAGAAAATAACAGAGGATTTGTTAACACTTAGCTGGGATGCTTAATTCTGGTTTAGAGTAGACTCATTTGACCTTAAAAACCAAAAGAAGAGGTGAGCTCTGCCAATATCACAACCTGTATCACTCTAGAGATGAAGGCTACTTTCTTTTATCATTTAATTTAAAAAAGGTTTGTATTCTCACTTCCTGACCAGGAGGTTAGTTGCTGGCTGCATCCCAATATTCTGAAGTAATTCCCCACTTTTTGTACAGTAGGTACAACCATCCATCCATCCATCCATCCATCCATCCATCCATCCATCCATCCATCCATCCATCCATCCATCCATCCATCCATCCATCCATCCATCCATCCACCCATCCATCCATCCATCCATACATCTATATATTATACATATTTCTTTACTTATTATGTCCATGCAATAATCAAAGAAGAACCCATTAGTCCCTATGAGCATTAGCTTTTGCTTGGTGTGACTTTGGACAGTCACAGTCAGATAATCCACCTGACAAACCTTCACTCATAAATGATATTCTGTTCAAAGAGACAACCCAGTTGAAGTTAGATGTCTCTGAAATACAGAGGGGTGAGTGCTTTACCTCTGGTAGAACATGCATGGAATCAAAAAGTAAACCATGGTAACTCACCCAGCTTTGACTGAGTTACTGTAGACACTACTGACAGACTTGCACCCGAGTAGCCCACCTGGCTGGAACCCCGGTTCCACCTGGCCAGGTGGGGTCTCACCTGCTTTGGTCTTAAAGGTGATAGATTTGCTGCTGACGCTGTTGAGCTCATGGGAGTAAACCCTCAGATGGTACATGGCGCCTGCGATCAGATCGGCCACCGTAATGGGGGGCTGTTTCACGGGGACAACGTTCACCGACTTGTCGCCTTGAAGACACAAGAAAGAGGCCAATCACACTCCAGGGGGTGTGGCCTTTGCTCCACAGTAAAGGCTGTCTTTACTAGCAAAAGTCACAGGATCATGATGAATTGCTTTCTCTGAGTTAGTGCAGGATTACTGAGGTAAATTGAGACTGATAACAATGCAGTGCCCATCCCCGTCATAACGAATAATTCACAGTTTTATATTACAGAAGCATATCCATGATCTAGTTTCCTACTTCTAGCTAGTATTTCTTATGAGCAAGGAGCTGCTCTTTGAAGCTCAGTCCAGCGGGCACATTCTGGTTCATTTGACTCTTTTTGGCTACATTTAAAAACTAATCTGATAATGTGGAATGGAGGAATAAAGGGAAGGGGTGGCAAAGCATTGTTGTCTCAATTATTCACAGGCCCACACTTATCTCCATGAGGTTGAAACAAAAGCAGTGACAACAACCTGCATCTTTCAGAGAAAGACGAGTGGTCATGACATGGCAGCTATGAGCATGACTCAGAGGTTGCAGTGCGAGGTTTCCACATCATGCACCAAACCATCAACCCTCTCAGCAGGTTGATGTCATCCAGCACAACTCATTCCAAAGCCATGCTATTAGCAGCAGTCCTGAAACCAGCCAAACAAAAAGACTAATGCAGACAGAGGAGAAGACATGCCAGTCCTTTACACATTCTGAGTCAATGCCGTGATGTGAAGTCATGTTCACTATTTCAAGTACATATTTGGTGATGTTTGTGTTTTCAGACGACTGCAAATAATATTTAAATGTATTTTTACTGAGACCACAGAACTGAATTAACACAACATGTTGCTAAGTTGCTGCTGCAGATCAAGCTGTCGCTGAGTTCACTATTGCGACCATCACAAAGGTGCATGCCTGACCTTTTAACTTTTGTTTTTCTCAATATATCAGGAAATTGATGACTGTAAATGAACTGTTTACATACTTAATGCCTGATTCCTCTGTATGTCTATCCTACTGTGACTTTTAAATTCCATTTTACAATCCAACATTTTCTTGAATGAATCAGCAAAATGAAAACATTTAGCTTAAGCCAAATCTCAGCAAATATATTGATATAAACTGGGAGGTTACTTATATAATCGTTCCAGTACAGTACATTTTTCAAGAATACTTGAAATAAATTGCATTTCTCTAGATTAATGTAAGGAGAAAAGGGTACATTCTCAAATAAAAGCTGTTATCAAGATAAGGACAGAGTCTCTAGGGGCAGTTCAAAACAGCGAGAATAATTTATAATTCCGCAGCACTAACTTACACAGTGCACTACTTTATCTTTTAAGAATTAGTACTGTTTAAATGAATGAATTAAATCCAGTCGCCTTTACTTTGCCCTTCTTTTGATTGGTGTTAAGCTCCAGTCAGTAAAGCTCAACACTGTCTACAGATGATGCACACAGGAAGAGGAGGGACCTGAAGGCTTTCCGTGTGTAAGGTAAAGTTGCAGCAATTGAGGGGGTATTCATTAATGGTTAGGTAAAGAAATATGTCAGGTATGATGTGGATGTTGTCCTGTCAATGGATTAGGGTTGTGAAAGGTTCTTTATCCTGAATATATTAAGATAAGAGGTAAACATAGAGGAAGAGTTGAGCTTGTAAACATCAAATTGAACGAGAAACCTGTCTGTGACATGAAGCCTGTTTCAACAGCGCTGTTGCCTCTGTACCTGAGGTTAATACATGCTACTGATCATCTTTTGAGCAAACTTCATCTCTTGAAATGCAAATCATGCATCGTGCGTGGACACAAAATAATAAAGGAATGTATACGAGAGGACACTGAAGTGGTTATGCCATTTTTTTAGTTCATGTCGTGTAGAGACGGCAAAGTAGTAAATGATTAAATCAAACAACTTTAGCTTCACTTGGGATTACATTCAAGCAACTCTCACTTTTACTGCAAAGAGCAAGTTATTCAAATATATCATGGTGGGAATACAAATATGTAGCTGTGTTTACATGAACAAATGACAGCATGAATGTCAGCACACTGAACATTGTTTCTCTTTTCCATGACAAGTATTCCCAAACAACAGCATAATCCTTCATCTAATTCATTTTCTGAAACACATACAGAGACTACTGAGGAGTGGTCAGGAGGAGAGGTGGAGAATAAAGGGATGTGAGGGGAGGTGGGGGGGTCCCTGCCACTCTTTTCCACTGCAGGACCTAGCACGGCTTAGCACAGCTTAGTTTGGCCTTGGTAGGCCAGGCTCACTTTAAGCTGTGTTTCCACACCGGACTCTGAGGAAACTATTCGTTGTGGCCAAACGGCGGTACTACACTTCCGTATCAGTCGCTGGGCCCGGAAAGACTTTTTCCCATTGACTAACATTGGGAAAGAGACGTCTGTAAATCGTTGGATCTTTTTTTTTAAAGCTAAATAAACTACCCAGTATGAACATTTGTATAGCCCTTATTAAAAACATTCGGTCCTCAAGTTGTAAAATGTGCTAATAACGTTATTCTGAGAGTTATTGTCCTCTGCATTATGAATGCGCATCTAACCCATGGGACCGCGCCGCCCGGCACGTTCATGTGACGTGTTCAGTACTACATGAGTTTTACCTTTACCCATGGATGCACAATAAGAACGGATTATATGATTATATGAATACTTTCATGACGTTTCGCTCTCTCAAAAGTTGGGCCATTTTGTCTTCATGCTCCAATGAGCAACTCTCATAGGAATGAACGAGGCCCCGCCTCCCACGCTGTATCCAGTTCTTATTATACATCCATGCATATACTGCCACCCGAAGTCTTGGCCTCCGTTGGTGCGCTGGGCTAATGCTAATGCTAATAATGCTAATGCGAGCAAATAAAATGGCGGCTTCACAAAAACCTTTCAGAGGTTTACGGGACGTGGTGTGCAATTCGCCCAGCCAATCAGAAATTGGAACCTTTTTCTCCCCAGGAAAGTCCCTGCTCTCTGGCAGGGACTAAAAAGGGGTGAAAAGGTTCACAAAAAAAAGTTCTAGTTCCAGATCTTTTTGGTGTGAACGCAAAATCCCAGGAACTATCGGAACTATTCCTGGGAAAAGTACTCTGGTGTGAGAGCGCCTAAAGCTTTCAGATCTGACCTTAGAGAACAGGGTGGGCGGGGGGGAGACCATTAGATCAGTCTCATCACCCCCTCACCTCCCTTCTTCTCACCCTTTCTCTTTCTGTTCACATACAGACATCATTAAGAATTAAAGCCACTGCCCGAGTACATGAAAAATACATCCTCCCTTCTTTCCGTTCATTATCAAAGATCACATTGGAAGCAAAAACAGAGAGCCTATAAGTGCTGGCAAATCCAATCTCAAGCAGCTCTGGTATTTTAGAAAAGGAGGGATGATGTGTTTTATAAAAGCAGACTTCAAGATTTCCAAACACCAAATCCAAAGCAAAAGGAAAGTGATAATGGAAACATGATGGCCGAAAAACAGCGTTTCAGACAAAGCAAGCAGAATCCAATAAGAGCCATTCAAAGCCAGGCAGCGTGTTAGTGAGGAAAAATTGTGATGGTGCACGGGAAGTTAGTAGTGACAGGATGAGGAACATTTTCCAACATTTAAAGAGCAGAGAAAGGTATGAAGAGTTCAAGAGAGAAACACAGACTGAGCTATGAATGTGGTTTATGCAGTAAGACAAGGACACATTTGAGCAAAACCATTGAGCAAGGAATTCAAATAAACTGCTATTCAGGTGTAATTAAAGCCTGATTGACAAAAAGATATACATTTTTTCCATTATGTTTGCTTTATCATAACAAAAAATCCTGCTGCTAACCAGATTGAATTTCATTTAGAAAAGAGGGAAAAGGTTTGGCCAGAAGTAAATATGTCCATCTTTTTGTGAACATGTTGTGCTATTTATAAAAGTGGGCTAGAGTAGATGCTAATGTAGATCAAGGTGTCTTTAAAAAGACAGTCCATTCTCTAATCCCCAGCACTGAAAACCATAGCTGAGGTTACTTTAAACATGATTCAATATATCTAGTCTTTGTTAAACACAGCATGTCAAAGCTGCCAATTGGGTCATTATACATATCAGCTTTTTTAAATCTGCATTAATGAAATTAGGTTTGTTTGCCACTTAGGGCAGAACTCCACAACAACCAAATTGTGGCTTTCTAAAGATGATTTTAGCTAATGTGTTGCAAATAGTTTGCAAGTGTTGAAACTAAAACAAACACTATATCTTTAGGTAAGTATCCCAAAGCAGCTGAAAGAGGCTAAACGGCGTCAGAGCTGAAGGACCTGCAGAGTTCGTGATGACTCTCTGTAGGGTCAATACTACAACCAAAAAACGACATTAGTCATAATCATTTGACCCATTGTTCAAATTAAAGTCAATGATAGTGAGTATTTAAAATGAGAGCTGGTCAAGTCCTTCATCTTAGAGGTCAAACCGACATGGTAGAGTCTATTATATTCTAATTTGGTGGTCCAATCATTTCATGTCTTTCAGATCTGTTTTGTTAAATCTGTTTAGCCTTATCTTTGAAATATTGCACTGCTTCTGCTCTTCTTACTTTGTGACATCTCACTACTCTGTTTGTCTTTGATAATCAGACAGCTATTGCTTTTGATATCTCAGGTGGCTTGGACTGGTTTCTTACTGTCCAGTGTGAACTCTAGCACAAACTCGCTGCTGCCGGCCGGGAAGTTGTGTCTCCAGCTGACGTTAGCGTAGTTACTGTTAGGCTCCACCGTCAGATTCCAGATCTCCAGCCCAGGGGCCACTACACAGGGGGGGTCAGGGGTAGAGGGTTAAGGGTCAGGGGCAAGTGGCAGAAATTGCACAGTTACAACAACCACACACGCGTCTCAATGAAGAGCTATGCATGGTGCGAGCACGGAGGGACTCTAGCTACGAGAGCGATCGTTTGAATGGGTACCGAAGTAGATCATGATCTGTCTGAAGCCAGAAGTACATTTGTTTTCATGGACAGGAAACTCACCCATAAGAAAATAACAGAGGATTTGTTAACACTTAGCTGGGATGCTTAATTCTGGTTTAGAGTAGACTCATTTGACCTTAAAAACCAAAAGAAGAGGTGAGCTCTGCCAATATCACAACCTGTATCACTCTAGAGATGAAGGCTACTTTCTTTTATCATTTAATTTAAAAAAGGTTTGTATTCTCACTTCCTGACCAGGAGGTTAGTTGCTGGCTGCATCCCAATATTCTGAAGTAATTCCCCACTTTTTGTACAGTAGGTACAGCACAGATTATTGGAATGCAGCTCTGATGTGGTTTCCTGTTTCGTCAGGTGGGAGAAGGCAATCGTCTTTTGTTATCCATGAAGTGCCATTCATTGAACACTAAAACAATAGAAAGACGGTCAAATCCAAAATGGGACAACAGCATGTACCCAACACATTCTGATCATTGCGCCTGGTGGGGACCAGCTCAGGACGTGCAGTGGTAGTGGCCGCCTCAGTCGTAGTGGTAGTAGCAGCAGTAGTAGTAGAAGTAGTGGTAGTAGTAGTAGTAGAAGTTGAAGTAGTTGAGGTACTAATGGTTGTAGGAGCGATGGTAGTTGGAGGAAGAGGAGCAAGAGGAGGAGGAGTAGGAGAGAAAGCTGAATCTACGGAGGCCTCTGTAAGCTCGACTACAAGGGAGGAGGGGGGAGAGAGCAAAGGGTTAAACACAAGGCAGCAGGACAACATCTAACAGGTACACACACACACACACACACACACACACACACACACACACACAGACAAGAAATTCCTCTCAAGCAGCACACATCACTGCGCACATCAAACGTCAGACTAAGTCATCATGGGTGAATAAACCATCACAGCCTTCATTTGAGTGTTTCCTCTTCATCTCTGATTAGATGCATTCACACCTCTTCATCGTCCTGCACGGACTGAGGTTTCACTGCCACCAAGAGGACACCTGCTGATATTACAACATGCCTGTCACTGTGTTTCTCTAAAAGAAGGAACATTTCTGGGTAGGGTCTTGGTTTAGAAAACCCCAACTGGTAACCTTATTTTGATTACATATTTGTGTTGCATTTAAAAGGCAAAACATTTTTTAAATCCACAAAGGTCAGTTGAATCATTATGGGAAGTACTACTTATCTTGTGCCAGTGAGAAAGAGAGTGAGTTGGAGCTTTAGAGGAGCCATAGAGGGAACTCACATGAATTGACTGGACTGGAGATCAGACAATAATAACATCTGAGAGAATAACCCGCGATGATGCCATCAGGGTTTACCTCGGCTTAGATTCACGGACTAACCATTTATAACAAAAGCCTGTGTTACAGATTAGAGCTGTGGACCGGAAATACAGGGGTCAAAGAAAAAATAGGTTATTGGTTGCATTATGGGAAATAATGTGGGATCTAGCTAGGGATGCACCAAAAGCGATACCAGGAAATATTTTAGGATAAGCGACGATGACAAAATGCAAACTATGCTCTGCTAAATTGTCAAGAGGAGGGGTGAAAAGTCAAACTGTAATGGTATTATTAAGTACTCATATCAGTACCCGGTATCGGCAAGTACTCACATGTACTGTAAGGACTTGTACTTGTTGTTGGTCTAAAACATAGTGGTATTGCTGTATCCCTAATCAAGCATATTTAGCTTACTGCTAACCCTTGTGTGGTGTTCCTATTGTGTTACTCAGCATGTCCGTGGGTCTGGTGGACCCGCTGCCTTTTTGGGCTTCCATTCAACACTATCAAACTATTTGATGTTAAAATACTCAACAGATGTTTACTTCATCTCAATTACAAGCAATATAAACAGCATAGATGGTTCATATTTGCCCTTTTACATTTGTTAGATCGCATTAATGAATTAAAGTGCTACTCGTTTTTTTGCCCGCTGACCGGCTGGTCCTGTGGCTCGTCTTTTCTTTGTAACTAGCTGATGCTCAATCTCGTCCTCTTCTTCAAAGTCACTGTCAGACTCAGAACTCTCAGAAATGTGATCCTCACGTTCTGAAACCTCTTCCTCTACATCATCATCATCAAATGGTTCTCTCTCTTCCAGAATCATTTACAAGGCCCTCTGAGCAGAGAATCTGTTGGCCATCTTGATCAGCTGTGATAAGGACCCAAACTGAAGAAGCTTTATTTATTGCGTCTTGCCCCAAATGTGCAGCTTGGATAGAGTGGGAAGAAAATAAAGAGTGGTTCCCGCAAAACATAATGCGGGAATGTGAGAGCAGAAAGGTGTCGGTGCTTGAATTGATCAACAATGTTGCAACCTTGTGCGGGAATGGCGGGGGCAAAAACACGACCACCCTGTATGTAATGTAAATGTGTAGGGGGGGTGTACAGTGGGTGGGCATTTTAAATGTGTTCTGATATATGTTCTTCACAGAAAATGAGCCAAGGCCATTGAGTGAGTTTGACAAAAGAATTTGTCATATCATTTTTCTTTAACTAAATAATGTAAACGGGCCCCACAGACCCGAACACCATACAAGGGTTAAATAGGAGCAAAATATCTCAACCTCTGTTGCTTCCATTTTGACCCCTCTTCTTTTAAATCTGTCTCTCACAGCTCCCTACATTTTGAAGCAAT